TCTCTCTCTCTCTCTCTCTCTCTCTCTCTCTCTCTCTCTCTCTCTCTCTCTCTCTAAGAAATGGAAATGATTTCCTTACATGGACTTCAGGGAAAAGTGTTTTTTAAGAATGCTTTTGCTTGACTTTTCAGGAATGGTTTTTTTATGCTTACTCCCAACTACGGTCTGGACTTCATTGCCAACTGCAAGCAGACTGGCTTCCATCCACATCCTACAGAACCACCCTTATTCATGGTATGATACTTATCATATGAAATGAGTAGCGAGCTGTTGTGAATGAGTGTCAACTGACATATTTTTGTTTATTATTGACATACTCAGAACAAATAACAGTTCAATATGAGTGTGGTTATTTATGCAATACTTTTTTTATTATTACAAAACTGAAAATCTTGTAGATGCCCCATCCACCTTCTTTGTGATGGTCTGTACTTACTGTCATGGAGCAGCTTCTTTTACCAATGTTTTTGGTGTTGTTTTTTCTCTTCTTTTGCTCCATTAGACACTTCTCAGCATAAAGGAAATCTTTTTATGTACCTTAGAGTACCATTACCTTCATCTACCAGTTCTTTGAACTGTCTCTCTTTTTAAATGTTGAGGTTCATGGTTCTTATTATATCGCTAATGTGGTATCATCAACACCTTGAATATTGAGCTCTCAGTCATGATGGCATAAGAAGTGTAGAAGGCCTACAAGTACCTAGACTTTCAGGAGGGTAAAGATAAATCGTCAATTTTGAATCACATTGAAATATAAGCGTTGTATTGGAAATTTTCTCGGAACCAAGCCACACAGTAGAAATCTCACCCAGGATATCAACATTTGGGAAATACCAGAGATCAGGTACTCTGCTGGAATAATAGAATGAAGGTAAGCAGAGCTAAATAAAGTGAATTGCAAAACTAGAAAACTAATGACAGCTCATTACGCTCTCTACCTATGCAATGATGATGACAAACTCTATCTTGCTGAAACCAAAACTGTTGCAGGTTGATGTCAAGCAAATTTGGGTACAAATTAACACTGATGATCTATAATGACCATTGGCTGTAACACACTTTGGTCTCATTTTTTAAAGAAAAAATGCCTCTAGCAAATGAACCTCATCCTAATGTGCATTTTTCAGGATTCAATGGCATGTTTTTCTAGGATGTTCTTGCTCCTTATATGGCAATTGCACTTGTTATATTCATGGAACCAAGTGAGCTTCATTATTAAACAATTTTCCAATAAAATAGGGATCAGTTTCCAACTGATTTAGGATTCTCCAACCAGCTTCCTATTAAGGTCTTGTGCCTTCAGCCTTGCATCAGGTAAATTTTGTTTTGGTGTGGACCAAAATCTTTATCTAAATTTTTTCATGTAGTGGATGGACAAAGTTTAAATTCTAGATAATGGTAACACTGCCATTGCCAACATCAATATATTCTTCTGTAAGGATCGACCAATTCTGTAAACTGACATTGACTTATCTGTTTTTCATCAAGAAGAGGAAATGTTCACTGAAATTTAATAGTGGTTTCGTGAGTAAGTTGCTCTGATGGATGATAATGTCCACGAAATCAATCTCAATCATCATCTTTATCTTTTGAAAATGCTCACTCATTTTAAATAACAAAATAAAATGGCATCAAAACAATCCAAATGACAGCTTTGTCTATCAAAAGTACAATCACTTAAAAATAATTTTTATATCTTCAAGGTGAATAATTTCTGATGGAAACAACTCACTACCATCTTCTCATTTAGATGAACAAATATTTATAATGTCATTGTGCTGAGAAACACTTTGTTTCTGTACAGTAGAATCATGAAAATTGCTCTTCTTAGATAATGTCTAGAATGTTGTTTGCAGCAAGTTAAATCTCTTGAGGATAGTTCCAAGTATTTTTTATGCAAAATTTTCTTGTTACAACAAAAGAAGAAAAGTAGAAATTTGTGAATTTATCAGAATTGGGCTGCAAATTCCAATAGCCCTGTACTGTGCATGGGCATGCAATTGCACCCGATTTTAGGCCATCAAAACCTGGGAGTCAGTCACTGCCTGACAAAAGTAAAATAAATATTATTTTCTTCAGTATTTGCAGGAACAGATGAATTTATCTCATGATTCAGGCTATTTGCCTAGGGGCTCGTAAATATTCTGGCAACGATCTATAAAAAAGTTTTTTTAACCACACATTCTTGATTTTGTCATAGTTTTTAAGGTGTCATGCACTTGAGTTTTCCCAACTTTAATTTCTTTAGGAAAATCTTGAAAGAAATTTTTTGCATGTTCTTCAATTAGTCTAATTTTCTCACAAAGAGTTAATGTTTTCAATTTGCCACCTGGCATCATAAACAATTGATGAACACAACACCCTCAACTTCTCGAACAGAACAACAGTAAATGTTTAAAACTACTGAAACCAAAGCATCATAAGAACTATGGAAGGATAGCTATTCGCGACTCTTTCGTTCACACAGGTGTGTAAAGGTCAGTGCTGTCACACACACACATTCACTCTCACACTCATACGCGGATATTCTTCGCCGAATGAAGAGCGATACGTCCTTACAAAATGTCGGTACCTGTGTCAAACGGATCAGGAGAACAGAGCTGGAGACATATTAAACTGGAGCTGGAGAGGTCGGCTGGCGGAAAGGTGGATGACTTGAGGGGCTCCATATCAGACAAATTGGGGGATGCAGCAACAGTTACCACACTGAGGGAGGAAACCTCGGTGGAGCTGCGAGACCTCGATGAGCTCGCAACCAGGGAGGAGATCTGCGCCGCGCTGGAAAAGCAGCTGGAGACAAAACTTGATCTGACAGCGGTGAAAGCACTACGGCCAAGCTTCAGAGGTACGCAGGTGGCGGTGGTCTGCCTACCAACGGTTCTGGCGAGGAGGGCTGCAACGATCGGGAAAATTCGAATTGGCTGGATGGTAAGCTATATCCGAATTAAGGCTACGCCGTTAAGATGCTACCGATGCTGGGACTTCGGTCACCGTGCCAGTTCCTGCAAGGAACCAGACCGAACCAAGCTTTGCCGCAAGTGTGGCGAAGAGGTTCATGTGGCAAAGACCTGCGAGAAGGACCCACACTGCATGTGATGGTCTGCGAAGTCTGAATCCAGCCGCACCTCTGATGGTCCGAACTGGCCGGTTTATCAGAGGGCACTCCAGACGACAAATAGGCAGAAAGAATGAGGTTACTCCAATTGAACCTCAACCACTGTGAGGCAGTTCAGGACCTGCTGCAACAAACGGCGAGAGACTTTAAGATCGACGTGGCGATTCTTTGCGAGCAGTACACGAACATGGAGGGCTCTACTTGGTTCTCAGACAGGTCAAGTCGAGCCGCGATACGGACTTACGGATGCGCCAGGTCTGGGAGATCATGACTGTACCATCGACCAGCTTTACCTGGGTTAAGGCAGATGGCATATACATTTACAGTGTATATGGCCCCCCTAGTTTCTCAATACCCGAATTCGAAACGCTGCTGGACAGTCGGGTGACCGATGCACGAGGACGGAGACCCCTTATCATCGCTGGCGATTTCAACGCATGGGCTACAGCATGGGGCAGCAGGGTAACGAACCGAAGAGGAGAGGCTCTTCTATACCATTTAGCCTCATTGGACGTTGTCCTAGCAAATACCGGGAACTCTCCAACCTTCTCCCGAAATGGCAATAGCTCCATAGTCGATTTGACATTCGTGAGCAAGTGCATTGCTCGCTCAGGTCTAACCTGGGATGTGAGCGACTAATACACGCATAGTGACCATCATGCTATTCTCATTGAGATGGGTGAACCCGAGAAACGTCGGACACTGCACCAGGCCAGTCGCAAGTGGAGCACGAAATAACTGGACACGGAGGTCCTTGTCGCAATGATGGAAGATGTGACCATATCTGAAGGACCACCGGAAGAGCAGGCAGAGGGACTCATGACGCATGTTGTCATTGCATGCGATGCCTCTATGCCGAGCTGCTCACCAAGCGACCGCCAACCACTGACTTACTGGTGGAACGAAGAAATTGCTCAGCTGCGCAGGAAATGCATCAAGAGCAGACGTCTGTGCTATAGAGCAAGGGGCCGACCCGACTCTGAGAGGTTGCGGGAACACCGGAATGACCGCAACGCCTTGAAAAAGGCCATCAAAGCGAGCAAACGTCTCTGCTGGCGTGAGCTGTGTCGAGAGGTCATGGGGCAGACCGTACAAAATCGTTATGACCAAGCTGGATGGCGCGGTCAACATGACCCCGACCTGTCCAAACCTGCTGCAGAACATCGTGGCCACTCTCTTTCCGACCCAGACGGAGACGAACCAGCAGCCCCGATACATCGACCCACGGACGTGCCCCCAGTCAGTCCAGATGAACTTCGGAATGCTTGTCCCTGGATTCAGGACACTAACGCTCCGGGTCCGGACGGAATACCAAACGCGGCTCTGAAGGTTTCCATCGAAGCTCGCCCAGGCCTCTTCTTGGGCGGTCTCGACAGATGTCTGAGGGAAGGTTCCATCCCGCGGTGCTGGAAACAACGGCTAGTGCTCTTGTCTAAGGGCAAGAAACCACCATGCGACCCATCTTACCGCCCGATTTGTCTGTTGGACACAGCAGGTAAAATCCTGGAGTGAATTGTTTGCAGCAGACTTGAGACCTTTGTCGACAGCAACAGCGGCCTTTCCGATAATCAGTTCGGTTTCCGAAAAGCGCGCTCAACAGTGGAGGCAATCGGTAAAGTTGTGAACATTGCTAGAGAGGCCGTATCAGGAGCACGTTGGAGAAGGGGCACGAAGAAGTACTGCGCCGTCGTGATATTGGATATTAAAAGCGCCTTCAACTCAGCGAGGTGGAACTGCATTCTAAATGCCCTTCATCGCCTTGAAGTCTCAGTGTACATCAGGACAATCATCAGCGATGACTTCAAAGTTAAGTCCTGTTGTACTACACAGATGACGGTCTGAGGAGTTATGACGTGACGGGTGGTGTTCCACAGGGGTCGGTTCTGGGTCCCTTACTTTGGAACATCATGTACGATGCGGTACTGAGACTGAAGATACCACATGGCGCGGAGACCATTGGCTTCACTGACGACGTGGCGCTCGTCGTTGTGGACAAGCACCTGGAGGACGTTACCCTCGTGGCCAACAGCTCAATCGCGATAATTCGCCGGTGGCTGTCTTTGGTCGAGCTGGTCCTGGCCGATCACAAAACTGAGGCAGTGCTGATTTCCAGCAGGAA